TTCTGAGTACCATAGTGACAATATTTAGAGCCACCTGGGGCAATCATTTTTTTTAGAAACACCCACTTCCATAAACATTCTAAAATATTGTATATGAACATTACTTGTAAATGTTCATTATCTAAGCGCAAGTTGTCCTGTCCTAAAAGAAGTGATTTCTCAAATACATAAGGAGGTTTTGAAGAAACAGTGAGATATATCCGCTACTTTCCATTTAGCTTTTTTTTTTTTTTTTAACTATGTCAGTATATTAGAATGATGAAACATACTGTTACTACCAGATTATGGGAAAAATGTAATGATTGTTCAGGCTTTTGTAATACTTTGGAATTTATGCTACTTCTGTACATAAACTTTGAAGGAGACCTTAGTCTCCTGAAGAGACAAAGAATGGATGATGATAAGCCCTAGGTTTCAATAAGCCACCACCATTTTTAAGGGAAGTACCATTTAGTGGTTACTGGGTGGCACAAGTGGTTAAGCACTGGGCTATTAACTGAAAGATTGGCAGTTCAAACCCACCTAGAGGCAGCTTGGAAGTAAGGCCTGGTGATCTGCTTACGAAACATCACAGCCTTGAAAACCCTGTGGAGTGAAGCTCTACTTTGCACAGGTGGGTGTCATCATGAGTTGGAATTGACTTAACAGCCGCTAACAACAACAAATCCCTCTGAGGGGACAGTAGTGGTTCAGTGGTAGAATTCTCACTTTACATACGTGGGACCAAGGTTCAATTCCTGACCAGTGCACTTCAGTGCATCCACCACCTGTCTGTTAGTGGAGGCTTGCATGTTACTATAGTGCTGAACAGGTTTCAACGAAACTTCCAGACTAAGACAGACTAGGAAGAAATGCCTGGCTATCCACTTCTGAAAAGTTAGCCAGTGAAAACCCTATGTATCACAATGGTCTGATCTTGTTGTACATAGGGTTGCCAAGAGTCGGACAACTCAAGGGCAGTGAGCAACAACAACGTACCCTCTGGAGTCAGGAAGAAAGGGAGTCAAAAGATGGCTTGCCACTTTGAGGCTACATGACCTCTTTGTTACAAGTTAATCTCTTTAAACATCAGGTTTCCTCATCTATAAAATGGGTCTAATTATTAGTGTCTACCTCCTAGGGCTATAGTGAGGATTAGTTATATGATTTATGTCTAAATATATGATTTAGTTCTCCCGTGACATCAAACCAAACCAGTTGCCATTGGGTCAATTCCAACTCATAATGACCTCATGTGTGTTGCCATTGTTGTTGTGTGCCGTCAAGTGGATTCTGACTCATAGCAACCCTATAGTGTAATAAGTGTTAGCTCTGATTATTGTTACTATTGTTTTTGTTATTGTTCTTCCTGTTGTTAAGGACTGCCGGCATCAAATATGTTCCCTATACCTGCCCAAAAAATGCCCCCAAAAACCAAATGTGTTTCCATCAAGTCGATTCCAACTCTTAGTGACTTTATCGGACAGAGTAGAACTGCCCCGTAGGGTTTCCAAGGCTGTAATCTTCATGGAAACAGACTGCCACATTTTTATTCCATGGAGCAGCTGGTAGGTTCAAACCGCAGAGCTATTGGTTAGCAACTGAGTGCTTACCCACTGTGTCACCGGGGCTCCCCTATACCTGCAGGCCCTCTAAATTCTCTCTCTGCATGAGTCTATTCTACTCTTTCCTTACATAAATAACTGTGTACTGTTAGAATGTGGGTTTCGTGGGGTCCGGGATTTTGTCTATCTTGGAGAAGCAACATAGACTACTGGTTAATGGCATGGTCTCTGGAGCCAAATTACCAGTCTCTGAATTCTGCCTCTACCAGTTATTGTCTCAATGACTTTGGGCAAGTTTCTTAACTTCTTATAGGTGGTTGTGAGGTTTGATTGTGTTGATATATGTAAAATACTGAGTATAATACAAGCTATATAAGTGTTTGATATTAAAAAGAAAAACTATGATTATCATTTTTGTTGTTTACGATTATAACCCTAGTACCTAGGACAGTGTCTGGCACATAGTAGGTATTCAATAAACATTTGATCAATTAATGAACAAATGCTAGACACTGGAAATATAAAAAGATTTGAGAGAGTAATTTATCTAGCAAAGAAACATAGGAACGACGGAGAAGCTTATAGCGTGATGACTTGCAATCAGCATTCATATACAACAGCTGGGGTCAATTCCCTCCAGTTACAGGGTTCCTGACTTGTGAAGCACCACTGAATGTGAACAGGCACAGGTAATTTACATGACATAAGACAAATTTTATAGCAGTGCCACTAGGTCTTATATAACTAAAATGCTAATTAGTACAGAGAACATACACTATAAGGGTCCAATTCAATACTCTTGGCACATTTATTTTAATTCTACATCATTTCAGCAGAAACTAACCAAAGAATCACTCCATAAGAAAATAGTAGACAAATAAAAGTATTCAGAATACTTCCTGAATATTTATTCTCATTTCTTCAAAGACCATGTCCTCCTGCAGGTAATATCTTAAAATTATTTAAGAAAAATGCTTCAGAGAGCCATTGTAATGCCAGTGCCATGAACTAAGCACTGCAGTTGTAGCACAGGCATTTCTTTGCAATTAAGATGGGGAAGTTGTTATTAAAACCAATGGCAATATTGTAATTGCTGTCAATAAATTGTTTACCTGTAAAAAGTTGAATTGGCAAAAGTTGTGTGATAGATGTATTTACAATGATGACAAAAAAAAAAGAAAGGTAGCTGCTGAGACTGCTTATGTACAACCAGAAACCTCATGAGATTGGGTTTCTTGGTTTGGAGGTTTAGGATCATGGTTTCATGGGACATCTCAGTTAATTGGCCTAATAACGTATTTAGTGCTTCTGTTCTACCTTCTAGTTCAGTGCATAGTGCCTGGGGTCTTAAAGGCTTGCACATGGCCATCTAAGGCACAACAATTGGTCTTTTTTCACCTGGAACAGCGGAGGAAGAAGGAGAGTCAGGAACAGGGGGAGGATAGGAATGTGTGGCTAATTGCCTCTGTGAACAAGTGTCTCCTTTATCATGAGACCAAAAGAACTGGATGGTGCCTGGCTACCATTACTGAATATTTTGATCAAAGATTCCATGGAAAAATCCTGTTCAAAGAAGGAAGATGCAGAACAGAATTTCAAACTCCCATACGCTCCAAACTTCCTGGAGACATGAAAGGCTGCATGAACCCCTGAAACTATTGCCCTGAGATAATCTTTAAACCTTAAACCAAAAATATAGCCTGAATTCTTCTCAAAACCAAACAACAGTTTAGCTTAACTAAAAGAAAAAAAAAAAACTGCCTTGAGCATTACACTCTTTTAAGAACTATATATATGGGATCAAATTGACAACAGCAACTGGAAAAATGAGATAGGAACCTTAGGGGACAGTGAATTTATGTTAATGGAGGAGGAACAACACAGAAAAGGAGAGTGAGAATGGCTACAAACTCGAAGAATGTAATCAATGTTACTAAATAGTACAAGAAGAAACTGGTTAAATTGGTATATGTTTTGCTGTCTATATTCTCAACAATAGCAACAATATAAATAAAATTATTTTTAAAATTGGCAAAATTATATTCTTGACCCTGCTCAGCTGAGAAGCCTTATGTTCCAACACTAGTCCTCTTTCTTTGGCAATCAACTCTGTTAGTGTGATGGGAAAGACTTTGATAAAAGTCAAATTTGATGAAGTTATTGGGAAATGGGTGCCCTCATGTAGCTCTGGTTTGAGGGTAAACCAGTTTATGTTTCCAGAGGGCACTTTGGGAATAGGTATCAAATACCTTAATAATATTCTTGTAATTTGGTCTAGCAATTACACTTGTACAAATCCGTCCAAGAAGAAATCACCAAAGTTGTGCACAAATATAGAAAGGAGTTCATTGCGGCATTATTTACAGCACCAAAAAATTAGGGGCACACTAAACATGCATTAGTAAGAGATAAGTCAAAAAATTGTTATAGCCGGCCCCCAGACACCCTTTGAGCTCAGTGGTGAAGTTATCTCCGAGGTTCACCGTTCAGCCTGGGAGTGGACAGCCCCGTAAAACCAAATGAGACTATCGAGGTACAGGAGTCCAGTGACAAGGGCCAGAAGGCAGAAGGGGACAAGG